AAGTGTACAAAGTCAAAGTCTTATTGTTCAAAGTCAAAGTAGAACCAAATGCCATACTGAGGAATTTTAATGGTCCTATGGGTATTAGGAAACTGGTTGATCAGTAAACAAAGAGAGTGCCTCTCATTGCACTAAATTTAAGCTCCATATGTAAATTTTTGGTGGAAATCTCATTTATTGGTTAATTAATATTGATCTCTTTCATCCCTAGGTATATTAACAACGCTTTTGTAGAAATCTGCACTTATTTCGTATAGCCTATGCTCTAGCTGTTTGCTGTTTGAATGCTTACTTTCATAGCTTTGATGATTCTATTTCCTTTGTGGTAAATCCCATTTGTTGACATGTTTCCAGTTCATACTCACCGTTTGAGTTCAAATTCCATTTCTATAAAAGCTTTACCTTACTCATAGTGAAATAATTTTTTTTAAAGTTATGTATACAAGAGCTGGGGTACAGGCCAGAGGTGTGGGGGGTGAGAGGATTCACCAGAGACAGAGTGGTGAACAGAACAGGCAGACTGACTGAAATACTCTGCTGAGGGAAGCAGCAGGCAAGACAGGAGAGGTCTGCTCTGCCATGAGGGTAGCTCGCCTGCTGGCCGGGGATGGAACTCATGCTGCAGAGGCTGTGGATTGCTTCATAGTGCTGTGCTTAAGGAGGCCCAAAATAATTTTTTAATGATTGGATCCCACCGTTAACTTTCTTGTAACTCCTGTGTATGTACATTGTTTATTTCCCTTTTAGATTTAAGCAGTGACTATAATATAATGCTGTGTACATGCCAGTTAAATTTATGGTATTTTTTTTTTTCATTTTTTAAAAGATTCATCTGGTTTTTTGGCACATATTTTGTGAGGGTGGAGGGTAGAGGAGTAGATTGAAGAAAGAACAATGTGATCATAAAAGGATGTTTTAGATAGAAATGAGAAAGGAAATGAGGGGAAATAAAAAGTTATGAAACAGCATTTTTCTTTGATTTTACTAATCTATGTATGTGCTATTTTACTTTCTGAGGTCATATCCATCTTGTTTTTTCTTGGAGAATCTGGAAAGTTCACTTGTGTTTATCAAGAGGGCTTGATGTTATAAATTGAACGCCTAGTGTACTCTATTTCCTTGTCTTTAAAATTCAAATACTTTGCAAGAATTTCCTAGTTACTGAAAACTATAGTTTTTGCTTTTGAATAGAAAAACAGATTATTGGGCCTCCCCTGGTGGCGCAGGCCGTTGCGCACAGTGCTGCGAAGCTGTCTGCAGCCTCTGCAGTGCTGGTTCAATCCCGGCCGACCGGGAGGGTCCCACACGGTACGGCAGACCTCTCCTGTTGCGTCCACTGCTCGCTTCAGCAGTGTATTTTGTCAGTTTGCCTGTTCTGTTCCCCACTCTGTTTCTGGTGAATCCTCTCACCCTCCTGCGCACCTGGCTTGTACCCCGGTTCTTGTACAAATAAATAAATTAATCTTAAAAAAGAAAAAGAAAGGGCCTCCCGGTGGCGCAGCGGTTGAGCGCTGGGTTGCGAAGCTGCCCGCGGCCTCTGCGGCGCCGGTTCGATCCCCGGCTGCTCCCCGGCCACTGGAGGAGGGTCCTGCATGGCACGCAGACCTCTCCTGCCGCCCGCTGCTCCCCTCAGCAGTGTACTTCGGTCCTTCTGCCTGCTCTGCTCCCCGCTCTGGCTCTGGTGAATTCTCTCACCCTCCCGCACTTCTGACTGTACCCAGTGCATGTATAAACAAACAAACAAACAAACAAATAAATAAATAAAACATGCCTCTATTAAAAAAAAAAACAAAACAGAATATTGTGAAACATTGCCATATAGTTGGAGAAGAAAAATGAGTGATAATCAAGAAAAATTGTTGGAATAATTTCTTCCTGTTAGAACATTTGCACTTTTTTTCCCACCAGGCTATTGAAGCTAACTCATTGTCAAATCAGAGTCAGCACTTTGAATGTTGAGCTGGGTAATACTTTAAAAAAAAAAAAATATTTGTGATTACAAGAACTGGGGAACAGGCCAGAGGTGTGGAAGGTGAGAGGATTCACCAGAGACAGAGCCGGGAACAAAACAAGCAGATAGACTGAAGTACGCTGCTGAGGGGACCAGCGGGCGAGTCAGGAGAGGTCTGCTGTGCCATGTGGGTAGCTCCCTGGCCGGGCATTGAACAGCAGAGGCTGAGGACAGCTTCACAGTGCTGTGCTCAACCCCTTGCGCCACCAGGGAGACCCTGGGTAGTACTTTTCTTTTTAAAAATTTTGGTCATTTGTAAACCTATTTTTCGGGGAGACTTAAATCTCTTTTCTGTAGATAAAAATTACTCTAGTCCAAAGCAAGTAAATATTTTCTGCCAGCTGTGGCAATAAATATCACTTTAATTTTCTTGTGCCATGTATCCTAAACTAAAGAAGTGTATATTTTATATTATTTACATAGTTTTTAAGCAAAGCAAATACCATTAATGGCATGATAAATTTATAGAAAGCTTATTCTGCATTTTTTTAAGTGATAAACTGCCACTAGCTGAAGTTTGACACACCATTTTCTGTAAATAGTTGGAATGTTATTTTTCCACTGATTTTTTTTGACAGATGATTCAGTCTTTAAATATTAAGTCATCAGCATTGTTGAACGCTGATTTAATAGTTGCAGATCAAGCCAAATTGTACCTTGTAAAAGTAATAACCAGTTACAAAGTTTGAGAGCTAGTATATTGCAAGTGGTAAATAGTTTGAACTCTGATTCAGAAAAGCAGAGATGCTAAATTCAACTCCTGCAGTGGGCAGTCATGAGAAGTTTCTTGATTTAGTTGAACCTCTGTTTCCTCATCTCTGAAATAGGCATAGGGTTTTTAATTTTTTTAAACACAATTTTTATTTTCTACTATGTATTTTGAATCAATATAGTACCTTCTATCTTAAGACCATTAGAGGGATTAAATTTGAATTATTGTAAAACACTTAGCAGCCTATTTAGAACATAAATATTAGAACAATAATTTTTAGCTCTCATTGTTAAGCTACCCCAAATATATTTTAAATATTCTCTAAGAACCAAAATTATTTTATGTAATATCTTTAGGATATGTCATTAAAGTATAAACCAATGTGTTAGGTGTTTTCAAGCATTGGCAAGAAATATTTTCAGGTTGACTTTAAAAACTGAAAGTTGATACTAATAACTTTGAAAACAAGTATAAATGATACCAATGCCAACATTAATGTTTCTTTCAGAAGAACTCTTAAATGTGTATGTATAAAAGTACATGCTCTGTGAACCAACTATATATTATTTCAAGATAGAAAAATTTGACCACAAGTAACAGGAAAGTAGTTATTACATTAGGGAATAATTAAATACATGTGGCATTAGTAAAGTATGGAATTATTATGCAATCTTTGGGTAATCCAGGAAGTATTTAGACACCTAGAAAAGTTCTTTTTTTTTTTCACCAGGAATTTCCCCTCTATTTTTTTTTAAAGATTCATTTATATATGCTTACAAGAGCTGGGGTACAGGCCAGAGATGTGGGAGGGTTAGAGGATTCACCAGAGACAGTGGGGAACAGAATCAGGCAGACTAACTGAAATACACTGCTGAGGGGAGCAGTGGGTGAGACAGGAGAGGTATACTTTGCCATGTGGGTTGCTCCCTGGCTGGCCAGGGATTGAACTCATGCTGCAGAGGCTGTGGATTGCTTCATAGTACAGTGCTTAACCCCTTGTGCCACCAGGGAGGCCCCTAGAAAAGTTCTTTTTAATAGTATGAAAATAATTTTAAATAGGCTGTAAGACAGTTTATTATACATAAATCATATGTACAATTTTTTTTTCCTGAGAATATTGTCATTTATCTGTGACTAGTCCAGAATTTCCTAAATTCCGACTTAAAAAAAAAATGTGTTCACTTCTTCTTTTCTCTCAATTTTTTTCTCATGCTTTCTTGCAATACAGGTAAAATTCTTCCAGACACACACATACCTCTCCCTCCCATTTAATAAGTAGTGAAGGATGGGGAAGAGGTTGATGTGCTTTAGATCTATAGTCCTTACATCATCACTATAATATTTATGATGATATTCAGAGTAATGAAACGTGTCAGTTTCTGTGTCAGAGCCACCAGAAAATGAAGACATTTTAATAGGTTCATTTATAATTTGTTTACTTGTAATCTTTTCAGTGGCTAGGAAGACATTCCTTTCTTAAGTTTAAGTTTGTGTAATTGTTAATTATAGTATCTTACTGTTATACTGGCTTAATTAAGATGTTAATTTTTTATGGTAAGATTTTTATTCTTGTAGACTGTGGCTTGTGACATTTAATCTGTAAAGCTTAGGTCACTTTAGAAATAAAAACTGCAGCTGCCATCAACTGTTTACTTACTCTGCCAGGCAGTACTCTAAAAGGTATTGACTATATTGTACACACTTACCTTTTCTCATATGGAGAAAATCACAGAAGTATTAATTTTGCCGAGGTTACTCAGTAAAATATTATAGTTAGGATTCAAAAACTTTTGCATTAATCTCTACTGTCTAGTACTTAATTGCTCTCTTAACCACATTTTATAATCATTTTAGCCATTTGAATGTTAAGTATAGTTATCATATTAAAAAAAAATAGTGACTGCTATGTTAAAATTTGCTGACGTCTACATTTAGTATAGGGTTATTATATTAGACTGTACCAGAAGTTATCACCATAACAGATTGACTATGTATTGGTGCCACTGGAGATGGTAATCAGGATTTTAAAACCTGAGGTTAAAAAGCATATGTATTCAGTAATGAATCGTTTTTTTACTTGTTTACAGCACTGTCAGTTTGACTTTGATGAATCAGCTTTTTTTTTTTTTACCATGGTAGGTAGTCTTGATGCGTAGATCAATGCAGCTGTAGTCTGGTTCAATTATTAATAATACAGGTAAAATCCATTAGAATGTAGTTAAAATCTGTTGCAATGTCCATATTAGGATTAATTTTGTTTTCTTTTCCCCCCTTTAGTAAAATAAAACAGGGTCTGTTACCTAGCTTGGAAGATTTGCTGTTCTATACAATTGCAGAAGGACAAGAGAAAATACCTGTCCATAAATTTATTACAGTAAGTTTTTACATCTTTCCACCTTAATATTTAAAAACATCAGTAATATTGAAATAATACAGTAATATTGAAATGTAGTCTTAAAGGTCATCTGATAGGTAGATTCTGACTGACACTGTTGCTCTTACTATGTTTTCAAATTTTCATCATGCTCATTTCAAGGTAATCAATGAAAGAACATGAAAGAAACAATGAGAAACTTGTCCACACAGTGGGTAATAGACACACTGAAATGCCATATACATATTCAGGTTTTGGGTAGAAGTTTTTATATACAGGAATAAAAACATGTAGTTGGAATAAGCATATACATTATTTGCACTATATATTTACAGACTCTTATTTTTTTAAAAACAGGCACTCAAATCTACAGGATTGCGAACGTCTGATCCCAGGTTGAAAGAGTGTATGGATATGTTAAGATTAACTCTTCAAACAACATCAGATGGTGTCATGCTAGACAAAGATCTTTTTAAAAAGTAAAAATTTCTGCCAAACCTTTAATGGTGATTTGCTATGCTATATGGTGATTAAAAAAAAAAAAATGCATCTTTGAAGGCCAGTGCTTCCTGTTTAACTGGAAAAAATGGTGGGGGGTGGGATTTATAAGCACCGTAGTTCGAAGATCTACATTAAAGTTCTATAATACACAAATAAATAAAGAATATACATCTATAATACACAAATAAAGTAAGAGTATAAGAGTATATAAATAAATAAAGAGTAATTTTAGAAATTGTCTAAAGATAATGTAGACATGTGGAGGTTTCCAATTTACAGTACCTGGAGATGGCATTCAGTTTGCTTAGAACACACTCCTTGTCCTACCATGGCTTAAATAGATCTCCAATTCATATGTATGTCTTACAGGCTTTCTCAGCATGCTCCGTTTCTTTCTTTAGATCACACCATAAAATGAGAAGGCTTCAGACAACTGTATTTTTAGATTTATTTATCTCCATTGTGTATTTTTCTCCTCATCAGACTTAGTACATAGACTTTTGTTTATTTTCATTTTTCTCAAAATATTTAAAAACTGAAGACAACCTTGGAGATTAATGCCTTAATTTGGTTGAATGAGAATATTTATTTTGACTTTCCTGTATTCCCATATCTGTTCATTATCTTCATTTGGGCGTTCCTACATCAGGTCATTACTTGATGTTATGGACAGCATGTTTGTGATTATCTCAGAATGTAAATAGTACTTTAAACAACTATTAACTATTTAGGAAAACTAGTATAATAGTATAAATACTTTTAAGACATTGCCTTTTTCCAGACCACAGGTTTAGGTTGCGATAGATCCAAAGAATTCTAGGATCCACCTTGAAAGTTTATTTGTATGTAGTGTTTTTATTTATTTTTTTGAAGATTTGTTCTAGATATCTCCTGGAAATATCCTAGAATATTAAGTCATCTGAAGGTATAGGTATTTAACTGAGATCCTTTAAAGTTACCTGGCATGTTTTGAAGCACTGCTGACAGTTCTGAATTCTTACCTTTTTTCCACAATGTTCCTCATTCATTTTAAATTAGCAGACCTTAAAGTGTAGATCCTGGATCAATGTTGGAATCAGTGTAGGAATTTTGAGTCTTCAGAACCTCTTTGTGGAAAGAAGAAAATAATTTCTAGTTAGCTATGCCTTTGCAGAAAGGATTATTTTTAGTGTTCACAAACTAATTTTGCAAAGTATTGGTTTGTCAGAAAAGTCATGATGCATTTTTTTCCTACGTTTTTCAGAGAAAAAATATGTCATGATTTTCCGACAACCCAGTAGTATTATCGATTGTTATGCTTTTTGAGCATATCTGAGAATGAATTTATCAGAGAGATGTTGATAATAAGTATGAGTAATACTTCAGAATTTTAAATGAAAGCTGTATTACAGTATCGCTTAAGTTTTTTTGTGTGTGTGCTTTATAGATAGGCTGCTGTATTTAGATGGGATTAAAAGTAATTTAAATGCACTGATTACAAAACCAGGAAACATCATAAAGTTTTCTACCCATTATATTAAAAAATAACAATTACTATTTTGTTAAATACTAGTTGATTTGTTTTAAAAATTGATAATTGTAATATAGGCAGTTCCCAATTTGACAAATACTTAGTAAATATGAGTAGGTCGTGGATAAGTTCAAGACAGGTATGATTTCTCTTTAATCCTAGGATGAGGGGATTCAGAACCTCTTGATTGTTAACCTTGTTAGGTCACCTGGGAAGGTGATTGCTCCAGAGTTCTTTTTGTTTTCAAAATAAGTTATCTAGTTAGTGTTGCCAGAAATAAACTATCTCACTCCCAAGCTGCAGAGGGGAAGGAGACATTACATTGAAATTCATTTTCCCAGAGAAATAATAATTTATAAGATGGACAGATTTGGTTAAAGTCAATGTGTTATTTTACCTAAATTGTTGGTATATATGTATATGTATATACATAAACAACTGGATATGTGTATACATAAACATAGTATATATACATATACATATAGTGTATATACATACACTATGTATAGTGTATATACACACACTATGTATAGTGTATATACATATGTATAGTGTATATACATAAACAACTATATATGTATATACATAAACAACTGGATTTGTATGTTTGACTTTTTTTCAAATGGGAAAATGTGTTGTAAAGCATACTTTTTGGAGCATAATCTATCTGAAAGTTGGAGATGCCTGTACCCATCTAGATAGTGAATTTTTTAATTCTAATAATTCTTTAATAGAAGTAGGATATTTGAGTTAAAATGAGTGTGTTATATATACATTTTTAACTGTAGATGTATTAAAGCTATTTTTAAGCGTGTGATCATAATTTTCAGGTCTTTGGGGGGGGGATAATTGCATTTGTATATTGTTTGACTTTCTTAAAATTTGTGTCCATTTTGTTATTTTGCTGATGAATACTTACAAGAAATATTTTGTAACACATTGCTGTGCATTCCAGTTGTTAATTATGAGCATTTAAATGAAAAAGGAAAGAAAAGTTATTCCAAGTTTACAAATGAGAAAACTGAACAAAGCATGTGACTCACTGAATGCATAAGTACTACTTCCTCAGTATATTTTATATGATACATCTAATTCTCTAGTTAGATTCTTGGTATGTAAATTATAACTCCTAAGAAAAGCAGTGCTGTTGGAATGCTCATCAGTATACAGTGAGACCCTCTTCTGAGTGGTAAGATTGCCTTTCTTGGCCACAGTAATTGATCAGCAAAAACTGTTACCATTTTTCTAGTACTTTCTGATGGGAGGGATAAAAAACACAACCCAGTTTCACTGACTGCACAATTTTGTTAATTATAAATGTCCTCTTGAAAGTGCTGATTAATTTTAAATAGTTAGTTAGTAGTAGTTAATAATTTAAATTTGTCTGGCAGTCTTCATATTTTCTCATTTATAATTCTTTGAAAAATGAGGATTTGATACATATAGTCATTTAAAATCAGGAATTGTCTTTTTTTTCTGTGAAATATGTTGATACATATTTCTTGGCTTACTCATGCAAGTTAAATTGCTGTTCGAAGCTTAGTAAATATTAAAGCAGTGGCAAAATATTTTTAAATTGAAACTAGCAGAAAACAATTTAGCAAAGCTTATTGAAGTGAATATTATCTCTGGGATGTCAGTTATGTCTTGTGTCAATTATGTCTATAGGTTAATAATTAGGACTAATTTCTTCATGTTGTAATTGGACTATATCTTTCCTAAAAACAACCTATTATATTTTAAATCTATGTTTTTATTTTATGTTTATCAAGTTGATTATTTTAATTCCTCTTGCATTTATATATTGAATGTTAATAGAATGAAATCTGGCTTTTAATTTTAATTTGATGTTTCATTTAGAACAAATTGAGTTAAAATATTAATATAAAAAATTTTCCAATTACCATAAAGTAAAGAAATACTGAACTAACTAAAAAGTTAGTTCAGATTATTAACTTGCAAATTGCAGGGTTTTCTTATCTGTAAAGTAAAGAAATTACTCTTTTTAAAGTGTTCATTTTTTTTAAAGATTTATTTATTTATGCATATAAGAGCTGGGGTGCAGGCCAGAGATGTGGTTGGTGAGAGGACCCAATAGAGACAGAGTGGGGAGCAGAACAGGCAGATGTACTGAAACACACTGCTGAGGGAAGCAGTTAGGCAAGGCAGGAGAGGTCTGCTGCGCCATGTGGGTTGCTCCACAGCAAGCCGGGGATCAAACTCTCGCTGCAAACACCGCGGACAGCCTCACAGTGCTGGGCTCAACCTTCTGAGCCACCAGGGAGGCCCCCAAAGTGTTCATGTTTTAAGGGTTAAACAGGTTGAGAAGTACTTGAGACTTAGTACTTTCTAAAATAGTGCAAATTTTGAGTTTTCCTCTTCCCCAAAGACACTGCTCATATAGTATCATATAACTTAACCCGTGCAGAATCCAGTTACCTAAATAGTTTTACCATAGGCAATGATTTGACTTTAATACTTCAACTGTAATCATTTGGGTTTTTGTCCAGTGAGGACTTAACCTGAAATTGCCATATGGCTTGATGCTTAATGTCTACCAAATCACACTTTTCATTAAAGAATTTAATTACTGTGCTACTCAGACTTTCTTAAAAAAGATGAGCTTAAATTATATGGTTTGCTATAACCTATTTACAGAATCCTGTTTTAAAAGTACCTTAATATATTGGTTTTTTTACTTCAACCCTTATTAGAACAAAGCAGAATATTAGTTCAAATCATTACATTTCATGCCCTCTATATGTTTACCATGCTTTTTTTTATTTTACAAGGTATGCATATTTTACAGTAAATAGAATAATGAAATTTAGCATTTTAATGATTCAAATAATACAAAATTATTATACTACTTTACATCTAATTTTATTAAAATCACATTGTTTTAACAAGCATTTTTGCAAGTGTTTCATTTAAGAGACACAATGATTTTACCGCCATCTTTTTAACATAGAAGTGCAAATTTTTCTAAATTAGTTCAGGAAGAAAAATCCATTAAAATGCAAATGTTAAGTTTTTTGGTGAAATAGTTACTCAAGAGCTAAGAGGTATGTGTTTGAAATTACTCAATGGTAAAATGAATAGGATCTCAACTGTGAAATATTTAAAGTCTGATACTTTAATTGTCATATGGAATGCTTTTCACTGGTAGGTTAAGAAATGTTTTTAAATGATTTTGATACTTAGCCTAGTGGGATACACTGCTGTTCTAATCTTTGACACTGTTTTTAGATACCTTGCTGTTTGCTTTAGCTTGATCAACTGCTTGCAATCAACTACATGAAAGACTGTTTGAGAGAAAATAACAATGCAGAAAGAGTATAATTTATAAAGTTCAGTTTGTTGGACAGTGTGAATTTCTCTATTGTTTAAACATTTTACTAAATAATATTGTTATTACCATGTACCAGTCTTTGAAAAGCACCCAGTCTACTAATTTTTTTCTCACATTCCACAGATGTGTTCAAAGCAACATTGTTTTGTTGACCCAAGCATTTAGAAGAAAGTTTGTCATTCCTGACTTTATGTCTTTTACCTCACACATTGATGAGTTATATGAAAGTGCTAAAAAGCAGTCTGGAGGAAAGGTAAACATTTTTATATGAATATTTTTCTTAATTTAGCTCAACTTGAGGTACAGGGAGTAAAATTGTGTGATTATTTTGTTTTGCTAATTATGAAATTTAAGTTAAGCCACTGGATTAAGTGCTTCTGAATCTTTTAAGTATTTAATTGTAATTTTGGCTAAAAAGAGTAAGAATTCTTTTGACTTTTCAAGTTATTGAGATCACTTTTAAATCTAACAAAGTAATTTTATTGGGAACTTCCGTAGATATGATATTTTTGATCATTAAATGTTTCTTTTTAAAAAAATTGTCTAATAAGGTTTATCTTACTTCTTTATAGAAGTTTAAAGTGAAACCCTACCAGCATGACCCTGATTAAAAGTTTTTTTTTTCCTTTAAAACAAAAAATCAAATCCTACTTTCTTTTTAGACTCTACTTATTTAGAAAGAGCAACATGGGAAAAAACACAGGGGATGATGGAAACAGAAGTTCCTTAGATCTCACTTGTAATCTTGAAGTCTGTTATGCCATTAGTTTTTTAATGAGTATTATTAATTATAATACAGAGCCAGTTCAGTAGAAGTGAAACTGATAAAATTTTTGGTAGAAGAAAATGCTATTTGCTTATATATTAATTTCTTTCCAATGTTTTAAATAGGTTGCAGATTATATTCCTCAACTAGCCAAGTTCAGTCCTGATTTATGGGGTGTATCTGTTTGTACAGTAGATGGACAGAGGTAAGTTTATTTGAAATGCATGAAAACCAATTCTAAGCCTTAAATTTTGCTTAACAGCATGAATTAAGAGAGGAACATCTTCTGTAATGGAAATTAGCCTAAATTTATTGACATAAATTCAAGAAGGTAAATTAATTCGGTTTTAAATTTAGTTTAAAAATATCAGCTGAAACAATAACCATATAAATTGTATGAGGCATTTCATCTCATTTACAGTTGTAGTTTTATTGTTTGAATATTGTTCAAGTACCTGCAGATACAGATTTACTTAAGAAAAGTATGCTCGTCAAAATATGAATTTAACTCACTAATGAACTGACCTAGTAAAATTAGTTCCATTTTTCAGCTCTACCCTCCTGACTGATTCTGTCATTATCTTTGCTCCTCATGCTTCTGATATAATTAACTAGGAAGTTAAGACAGTATATCATAGTATAATCTGTTATTTATCAGTGATTTGAAAAGTGAAATGAGGATTTCTTTAAGTCCATGAAAACAATCTAGCAGAATTAAGAAACGGATAATGATGTAAGGGCACTTCAAAGAGAGTAATTTGATTTTAAAAATCAATTAAGAGAAGCTCTTGGAAAATTGGATAAAGTTCTGGAATATTTTTTTCAAGAATGGCTGTTAGTGTCACACACAGTTTTGTTTTGTCATTATCATGTTGTAATGTGTTTGCAATTTCTTTGCTGGAAAAGGAAAAAAAAAATTGTACTTGAAGACAGCTGAGAGGTATAATTTGTTTTTTAATGGTTTTTACTAAGGTATTTCTCTTTTGATTATAATATAATGTACTTAATGTACTTTGATTATAATATAACGTTATAATATAACATTATAACGTACTTAAAGTTTACTCATTTTGCTCTTAATACAAGGAATCTGAGGTCTAAAGTCATATAATACTGGCAAAGGTGGTTCTAGATCCTAGGTTCCTTCTTGTCTTTTGTATTCTCCATAATGGAGGTTTTTATATTTAGAGAAAATTATGTAATTCTTGTTCATGGTTTTTTCTTTGTAAGTATACTGTGTGCAGAGACGTTTCTTTTATTTAGTTTTATCATCTAGAGAATTTTTAAAGTTGGCTTTGGTCTAGAATTATTTCTGTATTTTTAAATCCAAAAGTAATGAGATAGACTGTTGTCTGGCTTTAGAATGATTATCAAGTTGCAGATATAACCAGAATTAGAAATTCTTCATAAATTTGGTAAGAAAAAGAATTGCTTTTGCTGTATATTCATGTATTTATATTCTGTTATATACTTAGAAGTGAGGTGGCCATATGGTCCTCTTGCCCTTTGACTTCTTTGTTAACCATTTTGCATGGGGGTAGTTGTTAGTGCCTAGTTTTACTCTGAATGAACGAGTTGAAACATGCTGGGGCACCTAAGATATTTCAGCAAATACAACAAAGGTCTCTGCCTTTGGTGAAACTTGAAAGTTTTACTTGGGTTAGTCAGAATATTTTCATTTTGAAACCTATTCTCTTTTCATGCGCTCTAGGTTAGTAACATACAAAACTTTCTTTTTCTTATCTTGTTTACTTTATATAGTGCTAATAACCGCCCACTGTAACTTTAGTGTAGGTTCTGTTAGGTTTATAAAGATGGATGCTATTTCTCTTAATGGGGCTAAAATTGTGAGTAAATTTGGTTCACAAGATGAGATACTTAAAGATAAGATCTCAGAAAATATCAAATCTAAACTGAGCTCCTTTTACACTCAACACTCTTCAACATTGAATAAAGCTCTGAGTAAAAAAAAATGATGACTAATTTCCAAAGAAACTAGCTCATTTTAAATAATTGAATATAGTATGGAGGCCATACCTCTTGCCTTCAGAGCAAAATTTTCGTATCACTGAATCATCTAATTTTAACCATTCTGTTACCTGAATACTTTCAAGCTTTTGTCCTCTTCTTATTTAGAATCACTCTTAAAATAAACATATGCATGTTTGTTCTTTAACCTTCAAGTTAACATGTAGTTGAGCTATGGGAAAACCTTTGTGTATATATTAAAATTAACATGTACAACTCCAATTATACAGTTATTTTTCCAGTTTATCATAATAATTCTTAAAATCTTAAAAATAGGCATTCTATTGGAGATACCAAAGTTCCATTTTGTCTTCAGTCCTGTGTAAAACCTTTGAAATATGCCATTGCTGTTAACGATCTTGGAACAGAATATGTGCATCGATATGTCGGGAAGGAGCCAAGTGGATTAAGATTCAACAAACTCTTTTTAAATGAAGACGGTAAGAATTACATAAAAGGTGGTTGGAAAAAGACCTCACTTTCTTACGTAGCTCTTAAGTAGTTTTTAAAAAAAAGTTTTAAGAAAAGTAAAAGTATTCATACTTTTTGTCATGAAATTTGTGTGAAACCCTAGAGAGAGTTTAATTATCTACTTTTAAAAATGCTTGTTTTAGGTGTCTCATACCACTGGGAAGTGAGATAAGTAGAGGATGGTAGCAGGGAGTAAGATTTTCACTTGAATCACCTTTAGGGGAATATCCTGTAGTAAAATCTCACGTGTCTGGGATTTCCCTTGATGTAATTCAGTGGTGTGTATGTAGCTGGAGTGCTAAGTGTGATTATTAGTATCTGCTGTTAGTTATTACAACTGAATGATGGCCATGTGAGTGAGTGTAGTCTTTTCTTTCTACTTTATGTATTGTACTTATTTGAAAACTTCCGTAATAAGTTTTTATGGTGGCCTTGGTTGAAGTAGTGAATGTTTCTCCTTTTTCTCTGTCAGAACATTTAATATTTGAAAGAAATATCTTAAGTAGTTAGATAACTAGGAAATTTTAATACTTTATAGAAATTCAAAAGAAAATAGAAGGACAAAGTATAACTTTTGATCTGATAGAGGTTTAAAATCTAAACATCAACCTATGGATTGGTTTCTTGTTACAAAATGTTTTTTAAGCATTGCTAGATTGCTCCTTGTGTGATGAAGTGAGATAGCATTGAAAATGCAAGAGTGAAGGGATTATGTAGTTATAGTAATATTTGTGAGAAATACACTTTTATTTTTTCTCCTGGATAAAGAAATGAAATATACCTCATTCTCTCTTTTTTCTTACACCTTTCTTCCTGTTTTAAAAACAATTACATTTTCTTAACTTGTTTTACCATATTCTTATAACCTAGTGCAGGATTTGATTTTATGGATTTTAAGGAATTTATTACTAACTGCCAATCTCAGTAAGAATATCAAGCAGAAATACCTTATTTATTAGACTCACATCAAGAATCAGTATAGAAAGTTATTATTCTAACAAGATTACTCAGCATCTTGTAAGAAAAAGTATTTTCCTAATTAAGATAAAGTATGTAGAATAATATAGGTGGTTCTGTTTGATTTTCGAAAGAGTTATTTAAAGGATAGAAATTAAATATAGGAATTTGAATGTGAGGAAGTATTTCAGAAACAAAAAACTATAATAGGGTTGGGGTAAATGAACTACATGTAATACTTTTTTTGGTCATGTACATTTATGATTTTAAAATGAAAATTTATTAACAGAAGAAAAAAAATGGTAACCCTAGAATTTAGCTCTTGTTTATAATAAAAGAAATACAAAGTTTTAAACAAGAGGTTTTGCCTTTATGTTCTTTGACTTTTATCAAGTCTGAGCCAATGCCAAGAAATAATGGGAAAATGCCACACCTTTCTAAGTTATGGATAGCTTTTGTGCTCTGGAGTCTTGATTTTATAGACTAACCCCAGCAAAACCAATTTGTAGGTCTTTTTCATAGTTAAAATTTTAAGGGTAAATTATGATGAAACTATACACCTTGTGTATGTATCTGTCTATCTGTGTATCTGACAGTACAAAATTTTAAAATTATTACTATTGTCTTAGCTTTTTTTTTTTAAGATTTATTTATTTATTTATTTATTTATTTATTTGTGCATGCAAGCACTGGGTACAGTCAGAAGCGCGGGAGGGTGAGAGAATTCACCAGAGCCAGAGCAGGGAGCAGAGCAGGCAGAAGGACCGAAGTACACTGCTGAGGGGAGCAGCGGGCGCGGCAGGAGAGGGCTGCATGACACATGGGACCCTCGCTGGGGATTGAACCGGCGCTGCAGAGGCTGTGGGCAACTTTGCAGCCTAGTGCTCAACCACTGCGCCACCGGGGAGGCCCTGTCCTAGCTTTTTATGGTGATTATATATTGAGATGTGATTATAATGAAAAAAATTATAGTACTATTAATGTCTGTAGTTTTAAAATGCTTAAAAAATACAAGAATTTTGGTCCTGTGATGGAGGAGAGTTTGCTAATACTACCTATCTTTATAAATGAGGAAATAAGTTCCTTGATAGAATTGTCAATTTTGGAATCCACCATTTCCTAGTGAAGGTTTTTTCCTACCTTTTTGTGGAAATTGGGTTAATCAACATGTATTTATATCTTCTCCTATATTGTTAAGAGCTGTGTAGGGTACATGAATGGACATTGGTTCTTAGAGTATTTTGTCTACTACTAAAGAATACAGAAAACAGTTACATACCTCTAATACATGGAGAAAGAAGACAAACTCTAGCATTGTATTTGACTAATTATGTATCTTACAAGTACGTAATTGACAAAAGCATATATATACACACACACAGAGACACACTGCTTTTGTATGTGTAGACAGTTTGAGGAAGAAGAGGATTTCAATTTATGTGAAGAAGACATCACTAAGTTTAGAAAGAACAAAATTTAGGTGGGTGGTTAAGGGGACATTGCAAGATTAAATCATGTAGAGTACATTGCAAACATGTGGTGTGACACAATTAGGTTTATTTACCTCTTTGATATTTTTATATAGCCCTGTAAAATTCTAGTATAATACCTGTAATATAAATATTTGAATTCAACTGTATATTATACTTTTTTTGTTCTTTAGTATACGTATTGGTAAACTTTGACTCAGCCTAGTTATGAGCCCCATACTTGGTAAGGCTCCTATGCTTAGTAGTTCAAAGACTTTTTCTAGTATAATACGAAAGAACGTTATTTATACTTACTGCCTTGGGAAAAATAAATACTTGTTAAAATTAATCAGTTTTGCATTCTAGTTAAGCATGCTCATAAATTTCAGATGTTGCCTGGTCCATTTTGTCATTACACCAAGCAAATAAACATGTCATTACTTCAGATAGTAGCCTTTAGTAATTAGCTTAAGTGCTATTTCTGCTGTTATAAATATTTTTTAATTAGGGATTCTACAATTGAACTCTTAGACTGCCCCTTCTTACCTGTGGGAGAGCTGGAAAAAAATGAATATTTAATTGTCAAAGGTTTTAGACTTAGATTTTGGACTGCTGGTGTTATAATATCTGGTGTATTTCCAAATGTTCATATATCTGATTTTTAAGCCAAAGACAGCATGAGCAGTTGGTTACATCTTAAAATTGTGCTGTCATGCTATAAAATGTTTTTGTGTTCTTTGAAAGATCTTGAATGTAGCTGATGTAGTATTTGTAGAATATTTATGATTTAAAACAAATCACATTTTTGTGGTACCATTTGGAATACATACATACATTACCTGCTTCCTCATGCCCTAAAACCTAAAGTCACAAAGTATGAAAAGACAGATATATAAAGATCTGCACAAATACATGTTTAAACTAATTTAGCACTTCCACATTCTGCTTTCTGTCTGCATGTGGTTTTCCTTTCAAGCGGATAATATGGGAAAAATTTCCTTCCTTGACTCTCTGGCCAGGTAGTATTTTTCTGTGATAGCAGTTGCTCTCATTTCATGTCATCTCAGAGAAAGCAAACATCTCTTAGCATAATTTAAGAGTAGGTGAAATCTTAATTGCAATACTCAGTTATAGCACCGAGTTTTATTTTAACTTTTGAATTATTCATTATCCTGGGTAACCCAAATGTGCAATGTTACAAGCATAAATGGATGTTATGTACAAGCATCACTATAAATCACATTGTTAATTTTATATTGCAGTCTAATTAGGCTATAAGTTAACCCAATTTTTGGTCAAAAAAGCTAACTGCTTAACTGAGGTATAGTTCACATGCCATGTAATTTATCCATTTAAAGTTCACATTTATTGACTGTACATTCATAGAGTTGTACATTCACCACAACTCTCAGTATTCATAGAACTGATCACCACAACCAATTTTGGGACACTTTGTGTGTCACCCCCAAAAGCTCTCCTTTACCCATTTACAAGCAATCTCCATTTCTCCTATATTCCTGGTAGTTAGAAATCTGCTTTCTGTATCTATTGATTTGCCTGTTTTGGACATTACATATAAGTGAAATCATGTAAAATTAGGTTTTTTATGACACGTTTTTCTTTTATTGAGGTAATGTCAGGGCACTTTTAGGAATACAGGTTTACACCTCCTCAAATGTATAACATGCTTTTAAGGTGCTTTCATTTTATGGCACGTATTAGTACTTATTGTTGAGTAGTATTCCTTTATATGTCTAATAGTAACACATTTTGTTTATTCATTCATCAGTTGACAGCACATTTGGGTTTTTACTTTAATGTTTCTGTGAACACTTGTGTACATGTATTTATGTGCATTTTCTTTTTTTTCATTTCTCTTGTCAAATAGCTGATCATTGGCAGAGTTAGGAAATTTGGGCGTGCTCTTCCACCATTGTTCACTGTCTTTGTGTACATGAATCTTTATGATAGTATAGTATACTTCCTAGAAATGTATTATGATTTGATATATAAAGACTTGAATGTGTTCCTCTACCCCCAAATACCCCCCTGCCTCTCAAATAGAACTGTAACAGTGGCTTACATAAAGAATGTAGATAATAGGACCTCCCACGGGGTGCAGCAGGTTGAGCGCAGGGCTGTGAAGCTGTCTGCAGCTTCTGCAGTGCCGGTTTGATTCCCAGCTGGCCAGGGAGATTCCCACATGGCGTGGCAGACCTCTCCTGTCTCACCCACTGCTCCCCTCAGCAGTATATTTTGGTCCTTCTGCCTGTTCTGCTCCCTGCTCTGTCTCTGGTGAATGCTCTCACCCTCCTGCACCTCTGGCCTGTACCCCAGTGCTTATGTAAAATAAATAAATCTTTAAAAATTTATAGAGAGAGATATGTTCAAAGAAAGTACCTACTTGTTAAAGAAAATGATCACATATTTTAAATAATGCTGTTGCTTTTTCATTTTACAGATAAGCCACACAATCCTATGGTAAATGCTGGAGCAATTGTTGTGACTTCATTAATAAAGGTAAAATGTTAACATTTCCTTTTATCCTAGTAAAAATTTTTTTAATGGCTCAGGCAGAGAGATGAACTTGGGTTATTTATGAGAAAGTATGAAAAAGTTTCTTTGGTGTTTAAAAGTAAATCCTATGTTAAAAGGTTAGGATATATTTTATTCCAAGTTAAATAATGTGATTTCAAGGACAGTTAAAAACAGATGACTCATTTTAAATTCTAACCATTATTCTTGACCTGAAGATCTGGCAAAAATTCAAAAAGACGTTTCTGCTGCTGAACAATAGGCACAGAAATTTTATTTCCTGAAATTCTAATATTTTTTCTTTCTCTTCCTTTTGACTCTTAGAATAAATAGATGTGAAAGAATTAAAAGCTTTTTTACTGTTAATGTTTGTCACCAGTACATGTAACAAGTGTTCTGGTACTTAGTGTTAAGACAAAGTACACTTACCCTTAAGTATCCTCAAATCTTTAAATTTTCATAAGCTGTAATCACAATTTTCATTTGAATTTGTTTCATTTGTTTTACTTAAGTCATATCATAACTCAAGTAAATAAGGCTTATTCCAATTATTAAGTTTTTTTTATTTTTCTTACACTTTGGTTTGCATTTTATGTTTTGATTTTTTTTTCTTGTTTGCCTTAATAATTGGAAGCTCTAATAATTTAAAATAAGTATATGAAAATACTTCTGTTATGTGATACTGCTTAGATTTATAATTTCCAATTATGATACTGTTCAGTTTAGATTTATAATTTCCAATTATAAATTTCATTTATATGGGAAAAATTTCATTTGTATGTGAAACATTTATAATTTTCTTCAGTAAATCTGTGAGTATCTCATTTAAGATGGGGAAAAACATGATTACATGACTTTGTAAATAATTTATTACTGAGGATGGGATACCCTGGGTATGCAAAGAATATTTGAATACAAATTTATGCCTTTTGCCCAATTAATAAAAATTCATCTAATTTATATATTAGAAGTCCTCTTTACTGTCACAAATTTTGTATGTTCATGAGAAGAAGACTATCTTAAGAATATACATTTTTAGTTGTTACTTTAGGGCAAATGCTTCATAAGCATTGACCCACTTAATCATTGTAACTCCAGCGAGGTAGATATTATAGTCAGATATTTTTTAATAAGCTTTGGAAGTTTTCGTTTTACCCATTATAAATTCCAGTTATTCATGACAGTTTTTCCATAGGAGAAAAGTTGGCAGTTTTAGGTGAAAGAAGCCATTTGTTTATTGTAGAAAATTCTAATATGAATATGTTGTAGCCATAGTTTCGATTTAATGTAGTGTGGGGTTTGCACAAGGAGATGGGTTCTTACAATGATATTCAGTAAAAACTATAATGAGAGAAAAATCTCAATAATTGTTCAGGTTTGAGAAAGTAACTTAAATTTAGAAGGGAAAATAAGATAATAAAATGTATGTACTATTGCTTGACCAGGAAACTGATATAATGGTTCTGGACCATTTTTGGGTCTTCCCAGAAAAATGTACATATCCATGATTTTGTATAAACTTTAGGGAGTTCATAGACTCTTTGAAGCTGATTCATGTATTCCAGTTTGAGAACTCTTAAACCGTGGAAAGATTAACATAGTATACCACTAGTATTTTCAAGAGAGGACCATAGGTAAATGATTAATAGAAGCCTTCCTTCACTTCATGCAGTTAAACATATTTTGTTTAATGATTCATTGGTTTAATCTATAACATGAAATGCTGCATGTGGGAAATACATGTCTGTTCATATCACATCATCATTTCATTAGTTTCACTTACTGTGTTCAGTCACAAGTCATAAACTGTGCATTGAGTCACATTAATATGAGCACTAAAAAAGTTTAAAGAAACACACATCCATAAGACAAGTGTGGTTCAGTGTCCAGCAGTACAAAAATTGAACTGAGTCATCTTATATTTACAAATTTGAGCAGTGATTTAAAATTTATAAAAAAAAAATTAAAATTTATTGGAAGTTAGAAATAGATTTGGATTATGATTCATATATAAGGTCACTTTCTTTGAATTTTTGTTTTGTTTTTAGAAGGTAGTTTCACAAGTTTTGTTTTATTTTAATGAAGTTCATCTAAATCTTGGAAGGGGTAAGCATGATATACCACTGTTCAAAATTGTCCCAGAATATAATACTTTTCTTAGGCTTTTTAAAAAAGAATCCTTAAGCTATTAGAAATACCTATATGTGATCTCTGCAAGTTGTATGATCACATACTATTTATGAATTGAGAACTGAAATTGAGGTAATAAATCCATAATTTGAAAGGGTCTTCAAATCTAGCTCTCATACTTTATGTAGGTAAGATGAGGAAGCATACTGGAGAGGTTCTAAGTAATACAATAGGGCTTGAGGTGACTCTTATTTTCTGTTTGTGGCTCATTAGCATTCACTCTGCCATATTTAATGGGATGTCTGCTTTGTTCTTGATGACATCTTTGATTTTTACCTGGCATTGTTCTATTGTCCAAAAAGCAGTCATTTCATTTTCTTAATTTTAACTTGTGCAGAAGATACTTGTTTATTGGCTTTAAAGTCACATCTGATTTTCAGTGGTTGTGAATATTCATTCTTTGGACATAGATGGTGCCTACTATCTGTAAATAACTAGCCCTCTTCTCAGTGAACTTGCACTTGAGTACCAAAAACAAAGATAGTTTACCATGGCTATTGGATGTAAATTCTGTTTTTTACCTCTTTCAGTTCATGACCTTGAGGTTATTTTATTTTCTTTTCAAAATTCAAGACTTTGTTATGGTGCTATATAAACATTCTCCTTATGTTATTCCCCTCCCCCCCTCCCTCCACACAAAATAATTAAGTAGAGTCTTTAGTAAGACTCTTTATATCATAATTTTGTAGTATTGATATTTTTTCCTTGTAGGATTGGTGGTGATCCTCAGGAAATGGGGGAAGAGGCAGAGCAAATGTTCAAAAGGATTAGCAGATTGTGGAAAAAGGAGGATTTGCACAGAAGGAACCTGTTGCATAAATTCTTAACTACTAAACTTATAGGAAAACTCCAATATTTAAAATTTTAAGCAAAGCTATATAGGTAAATACCTTCATAAAAACAAATGTCATTTTGTCATTAAAATGCACATAATTTAAAAAACCATAAGGTATACTTTTTCTCTGTGGTAGCTACTAAATTTAAAGGAATACTTTTGGATGCGATTTGTTTTACTTGAATGATGGTAATGTGGTTACTTGATTTAAAGGAAAGAAAAAAATAAATTTGGAAGGAACAGTTATTCTGGATGAAATAGCAGTGTCCTGATGCATTTTTTTTTTTTTCTTTCTAGTGGTAAAAATTTCACTCAGTTTCAGTTTAAAAGTTAAGGTCTACTGATAATGCAAGGGTTAGGGTGGGAAAATGAGGACAACATAACACAAAATAATTGCTGCCGTTCTACTGATTTATTTTAAAGGTAAAAGTTAGGTTACATTGTCTTCTGTTCCTGTGTCTTTCTTCTAGTGGTATTTTCCCGTGTTTGTTATTTGAAGAAGCTCAGAAAAATTCTTTTAATCAGAAGTAGTTTTGAATTTACAAAATTGGAGTGTTTTTTGCTTTTTTTAGAAACAATCATACTCCATGAAAATCAAGAAAAATTTAGTTAATATGTATGTAAAGCTCGCTTTGTTTCTGAGACTTGTTTATGGGCCACGTTTTGAAGGTGATCTGTGGCTCTGGAGAGCAATAGATAATGCCTTAGACTTACAGCATTCATGAAATGGGAGTATATGACTTATTTACTTGCTGTAAATATCATTTAACGTATTTGAGGTTTTTTTAAATGAAAGGCAAATAATTTACTGCCAGAGAGTTCACTGTTCTATTTTTATTTTTAATCTATGAAAATAGTAGTTAGAACATTATTTTATTACCTGTAATATCTATTTTAATCCAAATATTGTTTAGCTTTAAAGCATTTTCTGTGGCAAGCTTATAGTAGTATTTTATAAAATCATTTTCAGTTGCCTCTTTTTTGCCTTTTCTGTGCCTCTTTCCTAAAACTAATTTTTCACTTGTTTTTAGTTGGCTTTTACATCTGCATGATTTGTGAGTGAAATGAAGTGATTTACTTACAAAATAACTGATTAAAGCATTGACTTTTAATGAGTGATTTTTATATTAAATATATTAGCAGAGGCCCATATTAATAGTGGTGTATTCACCTGTTATAATGGATAATACATGATTTAATTTATAAATATATTTTGGAATCAGACCATAAAATCCAATATAGCGATATTCTTTTAATAGCCAGTATTAAAATTTAGTACCTCTTTATCATATTTTCATAAAGTTTTCTTCAAAGGACTGTAAAGTCTTTAACTTGATATGGTATGGTAAAATTAATTTATATAATTTCTCTGGCCTAATGTCTGATTGCCAGTCTTTCCAAACAAGTCCTACCTGTTTTCCTTTTTAAAAGTTATGTGGTGACTAGATTAGAAATTTTGGCAAATATATTTTATTCAGTTTCCTTTTTTTAAGTTTCCCTACTATATCTTTACTACAAATTACTGTAATTTTTTTCCAGATTAAAATAACACAAACATGTACTAATATTTGGGCTGTGATCTTAAAACTGGGATAAACTTAACCATGGGTTCAGGAATTTTTTTCCAAGATACAAAGGGACATTGAACATTTTAAGACAATCAGTTTCCAAATCTGTTTTCATATGTGTTTTTCTTCAAATTTATCTGTCTTTGGTTCACGTTTCCTCACATTTCCCAAAAGAAAGACATAATTCAGGTGCCCCATATTTTACTCTGATGCACTGTTTCAGGTTGTGAAAACCTTTGGGCCATCAACAAAAATGAACACTTGAAAATATTGGGGTCAGTGGTTTTGAGGATGTAAATCAATACAATGATTGAGAACAAGTCCTCTTATATACCAGATTGTTTACAGTTCTTTGGTTTCAACAAAATAGAAAGAGGATCTGGGGCCTCTCTGGTGTTGCAAAGGGGTAAGCCGCAATCTATGAAGCTGTCCGCAGCCATTGCAGCACGGGTTCGATCCCCCACCAGGGAGCTACCCACATGGCGCAGCAGACCTCTCCTGACTCGCCTGCTGCTCCCCTCAGCAGTGTATTTCAGTCTATCTGCCTGGTTCTGTTCCCCACTCTGTCTCTGGTGAATCCTCTCACCCCCCACACCTCTGGCCTGTAACCCAGTTCTTGTATGCATAAATAAATAAATCTTAAAAAATAAAAAACAGAGGATCTAATCAACTTGTTAGTTAATAACATTGAATGTGATTTTTGAGGATAGAAGATAGATTACTGTGTGACTTTTGTATGCAGTGCGGCAGATGTGTAAAAAACTGATTGGCATTGCTATAACACAACCTTTTCTATTTCCATTAATTCATCTGTTGTCACCTAGAAATCTCAACTCATATATCTGTAAAAATGTAAAATAGCAAAAGAACTAAATGCCTAATTCTAGCAACAGAAAAAATATACTGATATTTGAACTAAAAATCAATTACTATCTCAATGGGAAAGAAAAATATTCCAAAGGAAAATTTTGTGAGAGCGAGAAATTATTGGCAAATAATCATTTTTTCTCTAACTTTTTGTGAAAATTTTCAAACATACACAAAATAAACAACAGTATAACCAGCCCTATGTATTCATTCCTGGCTTTGATTTTTCATAACATCTGTTCCTCCACCTCTCTGTATCCATTGTTGGATAATAGTGATGGAATTTTTAGCTTGTGTTTTTGTTTTTTAGAGGTGGGAAGTTAGTTTGTTTCATGTGTATTTTTCCCCTAACGTATTTGCAAATAAACTTTTTACTGTGACTTTTCAAAATTAAAATAGCAAGACATTTTATAATGATTTTAGTTAGGTACTTTAGCCCTAAAGTACATGAAATCTTTCCAAGGGGAAAGTATATTTTACTGATTTAATTTAAATGCTATTGCCAGGGTGGATAAAAAGAACAGATATTAATCAAGTTTGGGAGATACTTTCTGGATTCATTATAATCAATATAATTATATTTTATTTCACATTTACATAATTTGCCTGGTACTTACAAGTAGCTTACCTGAAATGATGTTAATGATAAACATTGATAAATACCAGTTCTTTCTTAAAAATAACATAAAAGTAAAGATTGTGTTTAGTGAGCCACAGAGTAAACCAGCTGTGGAACCGAGTCTAAATTGATAGTTTTGTTTTTTTTTTAATATTAAACTACAGCTAAGAAACTTTGTATTAGCTTTTTAAGGCACAGTTTAGGCCCAAGAATCAAAGTTTATTTTATATTGCATAATTGTATAACCAGTAATTATCCATGTGACATCCCAATGCAAATGCTGACATCTTTTTCCAAAAGAGTTGTGTATTTTTTTTTTTTTTTTTTTTGGTGCTTTTTCAAAAGTTAAAGGTTTCTGTGGTTTAAATGTTGTTACATATTTTACAGCATTAGGATCTATGGAATATTTTGACAACTGCAACAGTTCAATGAAGTTGGTAATTTCTTCTTTTAATTATTTTTCATTGAACAGCTTTGGAGTTACATTTCTACATTTTAATTTCTGGTGAATTATAAGGAAAGAAAACTTAAAATATATCAGAGGCTATTTTAGAGAAAATACATAGATAGTGATCACAATATGGCTATAGCTAAATTATCCTTGCCTTTTTAAAACATTTTTAATGCCTAGTTTTGATGAAATAGTGTGGTGTTCTTTCCATGTACTGATTGAATATGTGATTGTGCTTTCTTTCTCAAATTTGATTTGTAAGGTTTCACAGATTATCAGCCACATCCTAATCCACTTGTAAGGTGGAGAAAGAACCTGGCTTTATTCATTTAAGTAATGCTCTGGTAGAGGTTTTTCCTCCATAATAAAATTTTAAAGTATAATGTTTTGGATTTTTTTATATAGCTTAAAATTTTCATTTTGGAAACTTGAGTTGTCAAATTATTTTATTTTAAACCTGTTTTGAAATTAGAGATGTATTGTTTCTATTGGGTGCATATCACCAATTAATACGTTTGATTTCAGATCTACAGCTTACTGCTTTGTAAACTTCGCAGAGGTAAAATGAAACCATTTGGCTACTTGAACTGATCTACATTATATAGGTTTTTCCTATTAACATTTGCAGTAGCTAATGTCAGAAATAGAAGAGATGAAACAATACATCTTTCATACTCTGAAATGGCATAATATTGAATATAGATTTAGCTAATTTTAGATTATGAAAAATATTTTTTAGTTCAAGTATTATTAATAACAAGTGCGATACTCAGGTAGAGCTTTCTCTACAATAGTAAAATGTATCCAGAATGTTTGTATATACTAGAATTATAAAATACTAGTTTTGCAGTATAACTCATTTTTCTAACTTTTATTGGCTTACGGTTATTTATAAAACATAAGTATACAGTTCTTAATTGAAAACCATAATTTGTATTTACTTAATTCTTTTCTAAGGGTGAAACTTTATTTTAAGTTTTTTTAAGTATGAAATTGAATAATATACTTTCTAGCAGATTATATGTTGTCATGAAAGATACGGGGATTTGGGATAACTTGTATTAAAAGTACTTTAACTTTGGGTTGGGTAAAGATATACTTAAAATAAAGCATTCCCTTTGTAATTCAGATCCATTCTCTACATAATGGGTATTAATAAAAGAACTTGTAAAAATGTTTATGAAAATATTAAATTATTTTAGAGCTATTTCCTAGATTTAAAAGTACTAATGCACAGCATATTGATTATGATGATAGTTTGAGATTTGATAATCACTTAAAACCTAAGTATGGTGGTTCCTATCTTAACATATTTATGTCTCATTTCATTGCAGCAAGGAGTGAATAATGCTGAGAAATTTGACTATGTAAGTACAATATAGAATTGTTTTTATGATTTATTTTTCTAATAAATTTTTTGTTTTTTCATAATGCTTTCCAATTTTAATTTTGACTTACAGGTGATGCAGTTTTTGAATAAGATGGCCGGTAATGAATATGTTGGATTCAGTAATGCAACGTGAGTGATTTATAACTTAGGTTTTTATAATGGGTCACGCCTCTTTTAATTAACTTAAAAAAATGTAGGTTATAGAATTTATTTTAAATACTACGTTGTGACTATATCTCTACACATATGTACAAACTATATAGTGTATTTAGGACAAACTTGTACTCCCTTGTTAGTCTTAAGGACATCAGTGAATAAATAACTGCTTAAAAATTGATCGGGGAAGGGAAACGAATGATTTTTTATTATTCAGAGGGTGACATTTAAAATGTTTAAGTAATTTCAATAGACTTCTTGTGGGTGATAACAAAATTAAAAGGGACCCCAAGTTTAGCTCAAATCTGTACTTGTTCAGTTTTTTTCTTTGGCTATGTCTTAGCTCTCTTAATCTTTCTGTACATAGCTAACTTGATTTTTACTGAAATCTTGTCATGCCTCTCTCCTATACCATATTTTATTGAGCTTATTTTTGTATGTTTCCTAGCCCCATCATTAGCACTAGACAGTGACCTCTTTAAAACCTGGATAGAATGTCTTCCACATCATTTCTGTATTCCTGTTATCCTGTTGTAATGTCACAGATAACATGCTCTTGACAATAGTGTTTGATGAACAGCACTATGTGCTACACCCTGTGATAATTGCTTAAGTAGTTAGTCTTTTATACTATTTTGATTTCTTTTGAGTTGACAAGTTTATCTCCAAGAACTTTTTGAATCCAACATTGTCTTTCTCACTATAGCACTAATAAAGTGTTCAGTTAGAAGAGGCTGTCTTCCTTAATCAGTAATAGAAAGGCTGTCACCACAGGAGCACTTTTCTTCAACAGCTTTCTGGATACTTGCAGATTGATCTTTGAAAAGTACTACAAATTAACTCTGTCTAGATCAAAACTCATTTGCTTTCTTCTCAAACTGCTTTTTGTTCTAGTGATCCCTATGTCAGCTGATAGGGTCATTCCTTTCAAGAGAACATAGAAATCTAGGCTTTTACCAGAATTCACCCTGTGTTTCCTCTTTTCCCATCAGGTGGAATGATTTGCCCAATAGCTGTCCTGTGTAATCATACCTCTCCTCCATTCTTTTACCATTCCCTCAGTTTCATGCTTTGTGTAGCTGTCACTACAGTTGCCTCTTAATAACATCACTCATTCTTTCTTTTTGCTCTTCCCTAAGCTGATGTCAGTGTTACTCTTCTTTAATTTAGATCTGACAAGGTAACATGTTTGAAAGCCTTATGCGTTCTTGTAGACAATCAGGAATCACTACATTTTTAACATTTATCAGTCTTAATAATGTGGTCCCAATCCCTTTTGTTAATTTGATGTTTCTTCACTCTTAACTTTCCTTCTAACATATCAGAACATTTGCTATTCTTTAATGAATGAATTCCTGGCTTTCATACTTTCATAACTTTATGTTGTATGGAATTTGACTTGCCTAGGCTTCCCCCCAAATATCTTAACCCAGTGAATGCTGTAAGAATCCTTTCAGTGAAGTTTCTGTGAATTCTCTCAGTTGAAATTGACTATTTGTTGTATGTTGGGGGGAGCCAAAAGACTATAGTTTTGGTTTTTTTTTCTTTTTAGCATATCTCATTGGTAGAATATTTTATAATTTTTAAAATTAGCTTCTTTATTCATAAAATATGAACGAAAACGGACCTAGTATATATTAGAACTTTGATAGCTGAGAAAACTAAGGCTAAAAAAATGATCACTTAAATTACTTGTCCAAGGCCATATATCTAGCCTGTTGACAAAATTGGCAATGGAAACCAGCATTCTTGATTTGTAGGTCAGTTTTCCTTATACTGCATTTTGCTATACAAATTAAACTACAAAATAGTCATACTTTTACAGAAAGTAAGTAAATAGAGCAATTTTTTTCTTCTTCTAGGTTTCAGTCTGAAAGAGAAAGTGGAGATCGAAATTTTGCAATAGGATATTACTTAAAAGAAAAAAAGGTTTTTAAATTTTTGTTTCTATTTCAAATTACTCTTTTTAATAAAATTCATGAAGATGTATGCTAAGAACTCAATGATGGCTTTTAAGCAACTACCTGTTATTATTTAAGGATCTGAAACTTTTGTACAATATTCTAGCTAGTAAATCAATTTGTATTTTTCAGTATTCAAGTATTTGATTAGTTATATTCATGCAAATTCTGCTTTAAGGGCTAGCCCATCTTTTGAAAAAATAAATAGCTGCCAACTGTTGATTACGCTTGATTTTTAAATGTTAAGTGGCTGCTCCATTAACTTGTGTCATGAATTATGAATTAGTATATCATATAATTACCAGCTAAACTAGTATCTAGATAACTAAATATGATATAATTTTGCTTTTATTCTTCATTATTTCATATTTATACCTTTTTCTAGGTTATGTTATTTTGTTCTCATTAAAATGAAACATTTTGTTCCTATCTTTAATTTCCATATATGTTTTGCTTACACATTTTTTTCTGTGTGTCTATGTTTTCAATTGCCTTTCTGTTTTGTTTTGTTTTTTTTCCCCCAGTGTTTTCCAGAAGGCACAGATATGGTTGGTATATTAGACTTCTATTTCCAGGTAATTTTCTCTATTCTTAAATATGAGAATATATGATTTGTGTATATAATTGTGTATGTCATATTATGCAGAATATAGCTATCTCTGAAAACTTGACTAGAGACCAAGAGAAAATATATTTCCTATTGACTTTCTTAAAAAAAAGTCCTCATGAAAGACAAAATTGTATTTCCTAAAACGTCATGCCACAGATTGTAATAGAGATGACTTTTTCCTATAAACACAGTATGTTTATTAAGTTTAATCAAAAATAGTATACAGTTCCAGAAATTGACTTCTTGTAAATGGAACTCGGTTTTCTTGGATTTTAAACTTGAAGAAGTTGCATTTTTATCAGGCAGTTCATATTCTGCATTTTAAAATATCAATTTCTCAGTTTGTTTAGTTTGTTTCTGAGGTGTCACATGGGTTTTCTTCTAGTTGGAGTAGCTCTCCTTATTAAGGAAGTAGGACTTCTCACCTCATCTGCTATAATATAGAACTCATATTTAACATAACCTTCCTGGACACCCCACTCCTCTTTATTCTTACAAATTTAATACCATTGGTACCACTAGTGGGTTGGTAACGTAAAGCTACATAATAGCAAGTGAGTCATTGCTAACTTCTAGTTTACCTTGCACTTGCCTGTCTTTGCTTTTAAAGGCATTTTAATTTCAACCTGTCAGTAACTAGAAAGAGTATGTAAGGAAGATTGTTAATGTAACAGATTTTAATGGAGGGCGAGGTCACAGGTTATTAACTTGCCCAACAGGAAGAACTGTTAATTGGGGGTCCAGACTATTAATGTAAAATCAAAAGTCTAACTTGGCCACATTTTAGCCCTACGATCTAATTTCAGTTACTGTGCCCTATTTCATTATCTGTGGTATATGCTTAGACTAAACTTTTTGCTTTACAGTGAAGATACCATATTTACTTTTATCCAATAGCCTTTATTTTTTCTCTAACTGATATGAATTTCCTCTGTATGGTGAAGATTCTTTTCTTTTGTGTACACATTGAACTTCGGCAATTATAGCATAGGTGCTACTAATCTACTGTGTAATTTCTACACTTCAGGGCAAAAAACAGGAGACAGCCAAGTCTTAACTCTTGTTGAGAAGGACTGCATCTAATTGAATATCCATCAGAATATCAGGAAGCTACCCTTAAATTGGGATTTATCTTATTAGGAATAGCTCACCTAATGATTAACACAATTCTAATTAATATTAAGTACAAATTAGCAAATGATAATTGGAATTTAAATCTTGTTTTAGAAAACTTTCATCATTAGATCAACAATATTATGTTTCTTTTCTGTCAGTACAGTAAGTAGATTCTGTAACTTCTGGAGATGAAAAATAGGAAAGAGGTTTTAATATAAATGAGCATAGGTGAAAGTCTAATTCACTGTAGTTAGTTTTCCTTCTTGCTATTTTTAAAATCCCTTTGTGCCTCTTAAGGATCATGAAGTATGAGTGAGGAAAGTTTGTATGTAAATTGACTACTCAGTCTTCTTCCTGCTTCTTCTGTACTTTCTCCCCAGTTTTGGTTGTTGTCAATGAAAAATAAAGAGTATATTTATTGGTTTTTTATAGGCAAATGGATTTCGGTGTGGTAGACTATTTCCTTTGGTTATATTTAAATGCAAAAATTTCATCCTGCAGTGTATCTGGACTTTGCTTTTTTCATTCATCATAATATGTCCCACACCCATAGTAAAATTCATATAAATATATGAATGTTAATAAAGGTTTTCAAAGGGAACATTTGGCTTAGGCATACAGTATCAAGGCTAGACATCTCCTAGTTCTTTTCTTCCCTTAGTCTTTTTATAAGTTGCCATATGGGGATGCTGAGCTTTGTTATAGGCGAAATGCCAGTCATTTCAGTATTTTTTTCCCCTAAAGTAGCAACTTCTTATGTAGATGTTATCTGTCATGATACTGATGTATGTTGCTTTATCTTAAAAACATATTATGGCTCCTTTTTCCTTATTGAGTTAAAAATAATAATGGGTATTCTACAGGAAACATTCATACTTAAGCAACTTTGAATGTCACATGGAGGCAATCTTGGTGCTTAGGAATTAGCTCAGCCTAGTTCTCCCATTAAAGGATTGAATAACTGGGCAAATCAGAATAAATCTTAAAGGAGCAGGAATTTAATTCAAATTAAAATCTTTGAAATATCAAGTTTTATGACATCATCCTTTGGAAGAAAGATTTCAGAGCTATATGAAATAACAGATAAAACAGATTTTCTTAAAAGTCAACTGTAATACTAAAAATAATGTGAACTTACATTTTCAGAACTCAGTGTTTTCTTCCTTTTAGCTCTGCTCTATTGAAGTAACTTGTGAATCAGCCAGTGTAATGGCTGCAACACTGGCTAACGGTGGTTTCTGCCCAATTACTGGTGAAAGGGTACTGAGCCCTGAAGCAGTTCGAAATACACTGAGTTTGATGCATTCCTGTGGCATGTATGATTTCTCAGGGCAGTTTGCTTTCCATGTAAGTAGTGGTTTAATCTTCATTTTTTCCCTGCAAGAAACTAGTTTGGACTGGTTCTTTAAAAATGCAGTTTGCACTTTGCTTCTAAAGCAGTACATTACTTTTTGAGAGAAAAGCTTGTTTTCAAGGTTAATTTGTTACTGAATTGGTAAATAATAGAGTTAAGCAGCCTACAAGATGTCCTTAAAAACTCGAAGTTTAATTTCTAGAACCTCGTCAATTCTGCTTTTAAGACATTCAAATGTACAAGGTTAGTACAGACTTTAGTTGTTACATTTAGTGTTACAGTTATTATATACCTCAGTAATTCCTTATATAAAGAAAGAGTACATATTTGTGATGTCTTAATACAGCCATAGATACTGTAAAGGCTTAAAGTCTATCAAAGTTAAAACCTAACAGAAATATACTTTAAGGTTTGTTACACATTTACCACGTGTGAAACAGACTTTTACTTCATTCTGCTTATGTGTGGTCACAATACCCTAAAATACTTATTTGAAAGATTTAAAACAGAAATGTAGAACTGAATATTCCTAATCACTCAACTTCAGAAACTAGCAATGTGTGACCAATCTTGTTTCACCTGTATGTACTTTTGCATCCCTCACCCATGTCATAGTTCAGTATATAAATGCCATAGGTCAGTATATATTTAAGGACTCTTTAAAAAAAAAACAACACAATACAATGCCATTACCACATAATAAAATAACTTAAAAAATAAACTTACAAAATGTAATAATATTAACTAAAAAAGTTAATATTCAGGTTATCTGAACTATCTATTGTTTGACAATTTGTTTGACTTGGGGTGCAAATAGGGCCATTTGTTGTGATTGAGTGTGGCTCCCTTTATTTAAAATCTGTAGTTTTCCCCTTGAACGTCCTCTTTTTTTCTTGCTAATTTTGGTTGAAAAAACTGGTCATTTTATCAGTACAGTTTCTCACAGTCTAGATTTAGTTTAGTACATCCATTCCATTGTCCCTCTTGTTTCCTGTAAATTGGTAGATCCTATTCAGGCGATTTGTTTGTTTTGTGCAAGAGCACTTCTCACAAGAGGCACTCAATGCCAGACTGTTAGTAAACCATTAGTGTACACTTCCCAAAAGACATTAGTTTCGTCTTTTATCATAATTGTTAATTTTTACATAATATAAACTTAATTGTTTTGAAGAAGATTAATTTTACTTACCATCTTACCACTATTCCTCAGGCAATTCTCTGACAACGGGCCACTGATAATCTTTTAGGAAGATAGAATTTCTCAGTGTTTTTTAGTTGAAAAAAATTATTTTTGAACTAGTTCATGCTTAAAAATAATACATATCCATTCTAGAACACTTAGAAAGCATTGATGTCAAAAAGAATAAAACGAAAACCTGCAAAGCCTCACAATATAGGTGTAATCCACTTTAACTCCTTAGGATATGTCTTTCAGAATTTCTTTTATATTTAAATACATCCCAATTGTTTTATAATTTCTTCTATATTATAAACATATTACTAATACATTTTTACAGTATTTTTAATGTGAGAATTCTGCATGGATATGCCATATTTTTTAAGCTAATTTCTTTATTAGACATGTTTCTTATTTTAAAATATGAATATATATTTATTAAAATCATTTTCAGGTTGGTCTTCCTGCAAAATCTGGGGTTGCTGGGGGCATTCTTTTAGTTGTCCCCAATGTCATGGGCATGATGTGCTGGTCTCCTCCTCTGGACAAGATGGGCAACAGTGTTAAGGGAATTCACTTTTGTCATGTAAGTACATTTTCTTAATGGAAGTATTGATCGTAAAAGTTGAACTATCCAGTAATTCAGTTTTTTAACTCATTTCCATAGTTTATTGATTATTGGCACTCTGCTGCCTCTCTCCTAGTTATTGGGTAGCTATGGAAGACTCAAAAGAGGAGCTTTAAATTGCTCCACCAGGGTGTCCCCAGTGGCGCAGTGGTTGAGTGCTGGGTTGCGAAGCTGCCCGCAGTCTCTGCAGCGCAGGTTCGATCCCCGGCCACCGGGCGAGGGTCCCACATGGCGCACAGACCTCTCCTGCCTCCCGCTGCTCCCCTCAACAGTGTACTTCCTTGTTCTGTTCCCCGCTCTGGCTCTGGTGAAATCTCTCACCCTCCTGCGCTTCTGACTGTACTCAGTGCTGGTAGAAATAAATAAATCTTTAAAAAAAAAAAAATTTGCTCCACCAGACCCGATATAATCATTCTCACAGAAAGTAATTTGTTTGCTGCTTATATTTTAATTTTTATAGTTGTAATTAGTTTTCAAAAGCTCAGCGAAAGATACTGTACTTGGAGAGGTAAATTAAAAATCAATAGATTGCTTATTATAGCTTATTTTATCTTTAATCTGTTGAATATGCATAAACTACCTTTTAGAGCCTCCCTGGTGGCACAGGCTGTTGAGGGCAGCACTGTGAAGCTGTCCGTAGCCTCTGCAGTGGCGGTTCGATCCCCGCCAGCCTCAGAGCAACCCACATCGTGAGCAGACCTCTCCTGTCTCACCCGCTGCTCCTCTCAGCAGTGTATTTTGTCAGTCTGCCTGTTCTGTTCCACACTCTGTCTCTGGTGTATCCTCTCACCCTCCCGCGCATCTGGCCTCTACTAGCCTGGCTCTTGTATAAATAAAATCTTTTTTTAAAAAATTTTTTTTTTAAATTTAAAAAATTTTTTAAAAAATTAAAAAAAAATAAACTACCTTTTAAAAAAAGTTTTTTTGAGGAACTATGCACTGCAATTTAAAATTGTAACTGTTGATTAGTTCATTTTTTATGTTGTTACCCAAGTCTTGTTTAATATTTCAACTTAGGGTTTTATTTACATTTACTACTTCTTGCAGTCTGCATTAAGTATTGTAATGTTTTCTGCAGACTTTGTCAATTAAAATCTGATTTTCTGTGTTTTATATCTTAAACTAGAGAATGACATTGAATTCTTTATTCACTATAATAGAATGTAGCCAGAATATTTATATTTTTATGGTGTTTTATGGCTATATAATAGAAGAACTTTCTTGTGGTCTGTTATAATACTCATTTTATAGGATATGAAGGTTAAGCAGTCTAAATGGCTGTGTAACTAGTGTTGTCTAAATGTATATCTGTATCTTATCTTGATTTCAGTCCTTTTCTTGGTGTATCATGTTGCTTTAGTTATGTGCAGTGGTGCTTTCCATAAGAAAGTAGTTAAATAGAGTATTAAGGTAACTTGTTCAGATATGAGAAAACAGTAGCCCATGAACAGGCAGTTTCTTAAAGCTGACCTTTTTTTTTTTTTTTTTGGGCAGGATCTTGTTTCTCTGTGCAATTTCCATAATTATGATAATTTGAGACACTTTGCAAAAAAACTTGATCCTCGAAGAGAAGGTGGTGATCAAAGGGTAAGCAGAATTCTTATTTAGATTATTATGTATTATTTTTTTGCGAGAGATGAGATTCACCTTTTTAAATAAAACTAAGTTTAATTGTTAGTGGCCTTGCGTCTTTGCCAATCAAATGAGAGTGAACAAATTGTTGACATTTTCATCCTGGACCAATAGTACATATATATTAAAAACTGTTATTGTTTTCTTAAATTGAAACTAGTTAGCTTAGCAGCAGAGTTACCCCTCCCTCCATTTTTCTAGTATTTTAAGCAAAATTTTTAAGAATTGATTTTATTAAAGTAAGCCACATTAGAATGCACTCCATGCTATCAAGAGAAAGTGTTGTATTTACTTTTAATATTTTTCAGTGACAGTCTTGAAACTTGTTTTTATATGGATGGATATCTAAATAAGAGGGGATATTAGTGAGCGACCTTACATATCATCATCATACATTTTATAGGCTACTATAGATATTCTATAAAAAAGGTTTTTCTCTAAAAAGTACTTAATGCAACATACCTGATTTAATACAGTATTCTACTTTAAAATATAGCCATTTGTTATCACTGGATTTGACTTCATATTACTGAATATTTATACCTTTTTTAGACCTAATACTGAGAGTAAGGACTTAAACTTCAGGAATAATTAATTTTTTGTCTTACATAGTTGTTCACTTGGGCCATGGGACTTGTTTTGTGTTTTAATTACATTCCTTTGCATCCCATATAGAAAATGTTAATTCTAAAAATGACCTAGTTAGACTTGAAGCTAGCATGAGACACTTAGAAGTAGATAATATTCTCAAAGTAAAATTCTAATCTTTAATTCCAATCAAAGTAACTAATAATAATACATGAAAATTATGCAAAGCTTACAATAAAAACTCCCATGGAAAACAACATGAATAACAAGGAGCAGAACATCAGATGGTGGTGGGTGAAAGTGTTAACAGATGTCAATAACATTCATTGAAAAATACCGTTTTATAGCTTGGACCTTTCTTCACTCAAGTGCACTAATAAATTATGTATGTTGCTTGAACAACTAGCATTCCTTTGGACCATTGGACTATGAAAGTCTGCAACAAGAACTTGCTTTAAAAGAGACAGTATGGAAAAAAGTGTCACCTGAGTCAAATGAGGACATCTCTACAACTGTAGTATATAGAATGGAAAGTCTGGGAGAAAAAAGCTAAAGAAATGGTTTCTAGTTTCAGAATGTTCTTCATTTAACCTTTCAGACATCTTTAGCTTTTTTTGCATCAAGCATCTTTAGCTTTTTTGCATACTATAAATATTTATTTGAGTTTTTTTTGTGTTCTCAATTTTGGGTGCTGGAACCATAAAGCTTTTTTTCTTTCAATCTCTGTTAATACATTGAAAAGTGGATTTGTTGGTCTTTTAAAAAGTATTTATAAGTAAATAAAGCAAACTTGCTTTATTTTAAAAAATGCTAAAAGGAAAAATTTCTTTTAAATTTTCCTTAATGTAATTAAAATTTGTAACTATACAGTTAGATAGTTCCAGTTTAGAATAGTAACAGAACTTTGTAATTCCTGGTTCTAAAATCCACACATTTAACTCACCAGTTTTGTTGAATTTTGTTTTTTCTTTTCCAGTTTTAAAACTGACAGTTACATAGTGGCAATAGAAAGTATTTCTATGCTAAATACAAAACTAAAAAAGTCCATATAATGAGTTGCAGATTATTTAATATAGCAGATGATAAAATTAGCTTAAGTTTACATCTTATACCATTTTTAGTGATAGATTGGGCTTAAATTTTAAAATTCATTTAAAATTTTATCAAACACTTTAAAATATAAATTGTGTCTTGCTTTTTTACTTTGCAACTCCTTTGTTCTGTCAGAATTGTTATGTATAGGAGTGTTTTATGTTACTAAACCATTCCAGCCAAAGAATTTCAGATGTAAGATAAATGACATGTTTCACTGTTAAAAAGCTATAATGGTTACTCAGAAGCAGTGACAGTGAGTGTCTTCATGTGAAATGTTTACCTGAACAATTATATTTTGGTATTATCCATGTTACTTTTTCTATGTTATATTTAAGTATGAATGGTGAATTTTGTTTTTTTAGCTTTTAATAATTTTATTATCCTAATAATTTCACAAATGCTAATGAGTCTTACTATACATTATAACATCTTGTAGAGTTTTTTCTATTTGAACTCTTAGAGTACTTAGGAAATGAATGAATTCAGTCTCAAGGTAGTAAGTATGCTACTAAAATATTTGCTAGATCTGGATCCTTTGTTTGGTTATATTGAGAATCAAAACTTGTTTTTAAGAGAAGGTCTGTACGTTCTACACAACCTGATTTCAAATAATTCTCAATATTTAGTTTGTCTTGGCAAAGTGAGTGTAAAGTTTTGTAGGACCTATTCACACTTTTTCCTTCCTCCATATACCTATCCAGTTCTCTCCACATTTCCCCATAGCTTCAAGCTTGGTAGTTTTTGAATTTTATTCATTTTTAAACTTGTAAACTTTGGAGGGGCAGAAATGAGGTATAGAAAGAGAATTTGTTTCATGACACCTATGTGATAGGTTAAAGTCTGTAAAAGTAACTATAGCACAGCAAAAAAGATTTCATTGGGTAATTTCAATACTAGTGCAAATATAGATAATTCTGATCATATGAGTTTGGGAACTTTGATAATAGGAAAAGAAGTTCCCTCCCAAAGGTGTTGGTCACATGCCTTTGGACTAGCTTAAGTATTGAACTCATATGTTCAAATAATTTATGTTTTAAAGGATCTTTACGAAGGATTGTATGTTATTTGAACATTCTTCTAATATACAGATGCATATCCTAATTGGATGCTTCTAGTTTTGCCACTTACCGGAGGGTGGTGTGTTGAAGGCTTTACCTCTGCCACACCCTTGGAACAGTGTTGTTTGTGTTAGTTCCATGAGACTATTTTTGGTTTGAGGAACTGGATACTTTGATAACTTGCATTAAAAATTTATCTTTTCCCCATGCTTTAAATTGTTTCATCTTTCTTCATTTGAAAGTTAGCCCTATTTATAAAATGAAATTTTAAAATTTCATATTGTATCAGTATTTGTATGGATTTTAAAGTTTATGTTAATTTGTGGTGACTATTACTACGTTGGTAAGGCTTCAGTGCATGTTTATCAACCGTACTTAGGGTTTTCTAGACTACTCTGTTTATAGAATCTTGTTAAAAATCAGCATCCAGAAATTTTTGTAGAAAGGTAAAAATGGAAGAGGAAAAATATTGTGAATAGGCCCCCAAACTTTACTTTAAAAAATAAAGAAAAGGAAAATCTTTGCCAGATTTAAGGACATTATTTTTGTTCCTTCAGTATTTTTAATGCCTTTTCAAATAAAGTCCTCAAGTACCCAGTATTGTTGGATTTAATGTTTCCTGCCATTACCAGTTCTTGATATTCAAGCATTTAGAAGTTAGCATGTATTTTTCCTTTTTTTTCATCATTAATATTTCATTTGAAATGCATATCCTCCTGAAATACTTTATTTTTAGCATAAATGTTGTGCATTTTACCTTAGTGTTTGGATTAAAACATTTGTGTTATTTAGCTTTCTTTCATTTGCTTTGTATATTTAATAATGTACCTTTTATTTTGCAGTATGCCTACTTTTTGTATTGTACAATAAATTTATTTTAAGCTGATTTTATTGGTTTTTTTTTATTTTTAATGACAGCAACTCTAGCATTTTAAGTACAACAAATAGTTGGGATTTTGAACTTAGAAAAAATTATGAAAATATTATCAAAATGCCTTTATAAATGAGTCTGCTGTGATGGGAAACTAGACGTACTCTAAAGAGCTTCATTTAATTTTTTTTTTTTTTAAACCCAGTGTAGCATTGGCTTGGTGGGGAGGGGGGGGGCGGGAGACACATTTTCTAGTATTGGTTGTACTAGAAGTATTTGAATAAAGGCTTTTCTCCCAATTTTTCCTTCCTTGACAACTAAAAAAAAAAAAAAAACAAAACTACCCTATCTGCACATTCTTTCTCCTTTATGAGGAAGAATATTACTGATGTTATTCACTATGTAATTGTATGTTTTATCTGTTGTTTAAAGAGTAGGAAAAACATTGTTAAATCTAAAGTATTGTAATATATAACATTAGAAGAGAACTCAGTCTATCATAATAAGGAGTTTCAGTGTCATGGTATATTCATTATGTAACAGTTTATGATCACTTGTGTTTAAAGATATATTTGGGGTGGCTTTTTGAGTTGGTTTTTATGTGAAGTGGATTACTATAATATAGGAATCCACTTAAACTGTTTTTTAAGGAGCTTAACTTTCAGAAGAAACTTAGTATATTTCCAAATAGCATGGTCCAAATTATGAGACTCCATGCATGTAGCACAAATACAGTATTAAAATTGTTTTCATTTGATTAAACCTGCCATTCCTATTCCAGGGAATATATGCCATATATATTGGAAGGCTCAAAAGTATTTAAAGGGGAATACAATTGTCTATGGAAAATTATAATATTCTCTGGAATTTTTTCCCTAAAGTTCTTTTGGAACTATTGAATAAGATGTTTCACTGTCATGGTATATTCATTATGTAACAGTTTATGATCAATTATTTTTAAAGATACATGGGTTGTTTTTGAATTGTTAACCCACTTGAAGTAAATGGAGAGGTAAATGAAAGAGCCTGGTGATGTTGAGCTGATGGTGTAGGATTTCATAGGCACATTATATATGTGGGAAAAAAACACTGTATACTGATACGGTGGTCTGTATTCTGATCATTTATATGTGATGTGGGTATGTGTTACATAAGTGTGTATTTGTGTGTACAGTCATTTCTCAATGACTGGGTTGGGAGGGAGGTGGAACCCCTATTTGTTCAAAATCTGATGATCAAGTTATTTATATAAAATGGCATAGTGTTTATGTAATCTACCCAGATCCTGCTGTATACTTTGTCATCTCTAGATTATTTATAACACCTAATACAGTATAAATGTTGTGTAAGTAGTTGTTGCACTGTATTGTTTAGGGAGTAATGACAAGGAAAAAGTTCGTTCATGTTCAATTATAGAGCAGCCACTGTAGGCCTAATCACATAGTTCATAGCTTTAATGCACAGTAGATTGAATGCAAGGATGTGGAATCTTGTGATACAGAGGGCCTCCTGTATATTTATATCTATGTCTGCATATTTCTGTTCATCCATCCTCTGTTAGTATAGATTTATAACTGGTTCATCAGTCTGCTACTGTTCCAAGTTTGTCATTAAAGAAATTCTTAATTTATCCTGCCCGTAGAATTAATCAAATATAGCGCATTTCGCTTGTTCAATTTAACATTAAAGATTTGTGGTTTCTGTTCACTACCAGCACTGTACACAGTACAAGAGTAACAGTGACCTTCACAAAAGGGAAAGCAAGAACATAAGATTTCATGCAGAATTTGACTTTAAAGCTGTTTCTAAAGTATTTTGTATAGAAGTATTATATTCATCTTAAAAGAAATAATGTACTTTCCAGTGAATACTTGTTACAGTAAGTTTTCTTTATTTCACTGTGCATAACTTTTAGTTTCATCTTAACTAGCAACATAAAAAAATTTGATTTTTTTTCACCTGGATGGCCTTGAAAATACTAGAGTTCATTTTTTTTTTAAAAGTCATGTGATTTCTGCTCAATTTTCTCCACTTTTATATTAGATGTAATGTTAACATTATGTCATAAAACCGAAGCCAGATGTTGGAGATCAAGTTTGTTGTGATGAGTCATATTCCATCCCTCAGATTTTCACTTAATTTGGAATAGACTTTATGTTAGTATGTTCTCTGTCATGGAATTCAAGGGCCAGATTATACTAAATATACACTCAAATATATCAAATTCAAGGAGAGAGGAAGGATTTAGGGTCAAAATAAGGAGGGGGGTGGGAATTTTATGGGGAATATCACCAAAATGAAAATGTATACGTTGTGCAAAAAATGAAAAATGATGTAAGAATTATATAAAATAAAATAAAAAACATCAAATTCAACTACTTCTATTTAAAATTACGACACAGATAGTTTTTCTTTTTTCCTTAAGTATTTACTGAAATACTTTCAATCCTAATACCTTAGAGGATTGAACTCTATCTGGAAGACTTAGTTTTTGTAAGCAAAAATTCTTACCTAAAATAGTTTTAAATTTGTTTTGATATTATGCTTCTGGTAATTATATTTACGTAATGAAAATCTCTGCCCTGTAGTACTACTTGAAGCCCTGAATTAGCATTTTGATTCGTACTCTGTGACCAGCTGAAGCATTTGATTTACTTTTAAAAAAACCATAGTTCAACTTCTCTGGATATATGATGCACTTTCGTTTACCATAAGCTTGTAATTTATTTGAATCACATAATTGAACTTGAAAGTAATCTTAAAAGGTTATCTGGTGTAAACTCCCACTCCACCTAACCTCCTTTTCCAGGATTCTTAGCATCTTGCTTTCTCAATTATCATGTTTACAGTTTTTCCCCTCTTTTTTGATGGTGATTTATATTTTATTGGGTCAAACCTTTTGTTGTTTATTTTTAATAAACATAATTGGTAGTAGATAATATGATTGTAAAGTTGTTTTGCCAACTGTCCCATTAGTATTTATTAAACTACTTGATTGTATTTTTCAGGTAAACAGTTTATAAAGTTCACATCACAGTTTATAAAGATTAATACAGTTAAAAGTGAATGTTGCTATTATATAGTAGTTCTAAAAATAAACATTACCGTGGAACCCTTGAAATAAAGTAAGTGTAGCAGAAGTGTGACTCTAAAAATAAACATTGCATATTAACTTTTAAAAATAAATTCCTTTGGGGTTAGGTTAAATATATAATAAAAGCAGATTTAAATGACCAAAAGATTACTGGAATTCTAAACAGATGCTTCCTACAGAAAGTGTTTTTTTTTTCTTTGCATGTTACTTTTTCCCAGCACACATGTACCATACAAAATTGTCCTTGATTTTATTTTAGATGTGTGGTCTCAGTGACTTCAGAACAGTACTCTTGATATGTCTAATGTTCTAGCATGTTTATTGTCCTGAGTAGCAGTCTTTTTATTTGAGATAGTTATGAGCTTTTTATTCTTTAAGATGAAAATTTATTGCTGTTCTTGAAGTGCATTAATTTTTTAAAGCCTGTTTTCACTGATGTTACAACTTAAATATTGTTACTCTATAAAAATATTGGTTTCTTAATTCTCAGAATTTAAATTTGCTTTGATAGTTTAATGTAGGTGAGAACCTGAACTTTTAGGAGACTGGCTCTTAGTAGAAACTTTGCTTGCTTTCACATTGTACCTATTAAAATTAGAATGATCCTAAAATATTAACATCAATTTTACAAGTATTAATTATATTTGGACCATTTCATTGTAAAGTCCAAATTAAAATCAGGATCTTTAGCCTCTTGTTACTTCTTTAGTTATTTTGTATGTGCCTTTCACAGATCACTAAGGGGCAATTACAAGTTGTCTTTTGTGAGGATAACATAAAACTTAGGTTTTGGTTGTCTTTTAAATTAGATTAATGATATTCATGTCAGTTATTGATCTCTACCCAAGATCTGTTGTTTTCTTATTCAAAATTAAACTTTCAGTTGAAAAATTCAAAGTATATTCATAGAATAGTATTTTTTTATTTTTCACACTTACATAACTCATTTTTGACTGAAAAAGATAATTTTTAAAACTATATAGCCCATGAAATGTATTTTCATTTCCAAATCATAATATTGCTAATATGTTCATATTCAGATCTTTAAGTATTGTTGACATTTTGCCAGTCTAAATTTACATTCTTGCAAAAGTTAAAAAAAAAGGTTAAAACTTAAAGTCCAAACTTACTTTTTTCAATGTAGTAGAATTTATTGTTGGCAACTTATTATTTCACATTCAACTTGGAATACATGTATCTGTTGGTCCAGGTCAACCAGTGCATGAAATTTTTAATTTAAATAAAATGAACTAACAATGTTTCGACTTTGAATTGAAATGAATAAATGTTAACTTACTGCACAGTGACTTTATTGACATCTTTTGATGAAATTACAAGAAAAGTGAGTTTGTTAAAATTATCTGGTAACTAATACAATTAACCCTTTTTAATCATACAATAAAATGTTCATACCTTAATGTCTCTTCTTTTTACCAGAAATTGAAGTTTCAGAGCATGGTTTTGCAAAGGAGAGCTTAACCTTTTCTTTACCTGTTTATGAAGTGTTTTAACTAAAACTATCAGTATTACAACAGAATTCAGAGTATGTGTGACTTTTTTTTTTTTTTTTTTTTTTGCCTAAAGGAGAAAGTTAATTTGCTGTATTTTTTAGCCAAATAATAAAAACTCAAGAAGCCTTCATTTTTATTTTGTCTCAGTTGTATAGTTTTATTTTAAATCCAACCTATATGTCTGTCACAGAATCACGGTATCCTCATTGTTGCTTATCTGGTGTCCCTTTCGTGTGATGGTCTACTTCACATACTAGTCCGTGTACCTTATACTTAGGAGCTCTGGATAGAGCTGCTACTCTGTCCCCATGTTGTGTTGTAGTTTTTGTTTTTCAGAAAGCCTTATTCAGTGCCATTGTGAGGCTTCACTTTTTTTGATAGCTAAGAATTTGGGGTCTTCTGCACAAATCTTAATAGATTCA